TGTGTATTATACAAAAGGTGTATAGTAAACTAATCCATAGAAAGGATGGATGGTTCAATGATTAAGTCATTGGCATATGTGTTGAAATCAGCACTACCAAACTTCATAAGAAGTGGACGTATGGAAAGGCTAAGGGAGCCGTATGGTCCATACCAAAGTTCATACCGACCAAGGCTAAGGTCCGGTTACATTCTAAGTCCAAATCATCCATGGTGTGATGACCAATATGTTGGTTCAAAACGTGGTTATGACCTAGAGGTACTAAGCTATCAAGGAGCATAGTTTAAAGGTCTTAAGGAACCAATGTAGTATAAACTGTACCTATACATCACCACACACAAGTCATGTTGTTAAGGCAACATTAGGTTATGATATAGCACTCATTGGCGAGTTTTAAAGACATGTGTGGGTAAGGTCCATGACCATAATGTACTTTGGTACGTTGCTTAATATAAGAAGGTCATGGGACACCATCAAAGGAAGTATGGTATGTGATGTTTAAGTACAAAGGTTATAGTGTGGGACTTGAATGAAGGCACGACCATTAAGCTTTGTATTAATGGGTTAAAGAAAACTATAAGAGTCCAAAAGAGTGACCAAAAGTAGGCATGGTTAAGTCCTAATAGATATTATATTGCTAAAGGCAAGGAAGGTCGATAAGTCATGTATAAGGTCCATAAGCATTTGCTGCAGATCCATGGTTTGATGTGATCATAATATTCATTGCAGCAACTGGTGAGGTAACTCATAAGGTTATGGACGTGATAGCTAAGGTCTATTACCCAACATGAACTTACCCAAAGGATAGGAAAGGATATCGACCATAATGGACAAGACCATTAGCACATACAATTGGTGTATGGCCAAATGGACTAGGCGTGTCCATGGGAACCTAAGGTTGGTCCATATATGTTTTGGTCTATGAATCTATATAGGATGTCCACGAAAATGGCTATGCCATATGATCAGTGGATCCGTGGGACATAATGGGATATGAGATGGGCCTGCAAACAATGGTTGTATGCAGATCATAAGCCCATCCAAGTACTGGTCAAGTACCATCCGACCAGAACACCAGTCCGACAAGGAAATCAGTCCAACCAGGACATAGAATGGTCAATGGCATCAGATGCACGACATGACCATGTCTTAATGGAGTTCCAGAAGGCATTAAGAGACACTAGAAGTTCCAAGATGATCACACGTCAGTGGTGTATTCATCAGGGGGAGTTTCATGTGTTGTACTCTTTTGTCCTGTCCTTGGTTTTCCCTTTTTACCACNTGTCATTATCCTCCCTTGTATTTATCCATATGTTGTAGATATCCTAATCATTATAGGATTAGGATAATCATCCCCTTTATTTGTAGCAATTCTTATCTCCTAAGGAATATGCTTTATTCTCTTGTATGTATATATATATGTGTAACCACGTGATTAATAATACAATGAGAGTTACAACCTTCTTCTTTATTCTTTAACAGTAGGGACATTTAGTAAATTTATCTATAGTTTATATATATTTTTGAAATTAAAAAATGATCATAAAGCGTGAAATCCGCGTAGAGTTAGTCCTCTCACACTATAAAACGCACCTTCTCTACACCTCTAATCTCATTCGTCTCATACAAATCATCTCAAGTATACATTTGATCATTTCGTATTCTCATCAACAGAGCAAAACTAAACTCTTTTTTTTTTTAATAACCATGGCTGAGGAATCCAAGAACGTTCACGAGCATGAGGCACCTAAGGTCGCAACCGAGGAGTCATCCGCGGCGGCCGGAGAGGTCACAGACCGTGGACTGTTCGATTTCTTGGGGAAGAAGAAAGATGAAACAAAACCAGAGGAGACCATCGACTCTGAGTTCGAGCAAAAGGTTCACATCTCAGAGCCAGTGCCTGAGGTTAAACACGAGGAAGAAGGAGAAGAGAAGAAGCATAGTCTCCTCGAGAAGCTTCACCGTAGCGACAGCTCTTCCAGCTCCGTAAGTATTTAGGTTTTTGTCTGTTGATGTATAAGTATAACATGATCTAACTATGTGGATTTGTTTTTGCGACAGTCAAGCGAGGAAGAAGGTGAAGATGGTGAGAAGAGGAAGAAGAAGAAGGACAAGAAGAAGATTGTTACCGAAGGAGAGGTGAAAACAGAGGAGGAAGAGAAGAAAGGGTTTATGGAGAAGCTGAAGGAGAAGCTTCCAGGACAGGGAAAGAAGCCGGAAGAAGCTTCACCTGCACCGGTTGTTGCTCCTCATGTGGAGGAAGCGCATCCGGCGGAGAAGAAGGGGATCTTGGAGAAGATTAAGGAGAAGCTTCCAGGGTACCATCCCAAGACCGTAGAGGAGGAGAAGAAGGATAAGGATGATCATTAAAGATATTTTATAATGATGATGATTCTGTGTTCTTGTGTTGAATGATATGATCATCTTTTGCTTTTGTGTTGTCTGAAGTTTGTTGGCTTTTTTATTTTCTTTGTTGATTTCAGCTTTTCCTTGTTATGTGTTGTATATGATTTCAAGGTGATTTAATGGTATGAATATTTTCATTTCCCTTGACATTTATTTTGATGTCCCATATATTTCATTAGGATAATGATCTAACTTCCCTGTTTATTATTCTTAAGTCGTACACAAGACCCCATTAGATGAATGATTTAACCAAAGTTTGTACTACTATTTATGAAGTTAAATGCGTTGGTATAAAAGCAACATGACCCCCAACTATCATGACTCCTAGTGGTTGATTTGGCACATAACTGCTCAAAACGTATATAAAGTGAAAGGGATTGAGATATTTTCACATAGATCCAACTCACACATGATGATGGTATTCTGTTAGTTCTGATAAGTACAAATCAGTGAAACACATCTTCAGTTTCATGCTTTTGGTTCAAAAACTTTTGTAGTTTCATAATTGGGTTTTCATAATGGGCCGAAACTAAAATAGGCCCAACTAGTCATTAAGGAATCAGGTAGGAAAAATCCGCAAAAACGACGTCGTTATAATAGCACTAGGTTGGTTTTACCGCCACGACGAGCATCTCGCCGCCGACTAGTAACCCCGGTGAGATGGAGAAAGGCGAAGCGAAGAGTAAGAAAGCTGGAGGAGCTCGTCTCTGCTGCATCTGTAACGAGAGACGACCCGTCCTCAAAAGACCAAAAACCCTTCAACAAGTAATCTTTCGAAATCTCACAAATTCTGTTTAGTTTTTTTTTTTTTGCTATGAACATTTGATAAAAATCTGAACTTTGAATCTGATCCAAGTAATTGAGCTATGTTTAATCTTTTATTACATAGTAATTAATGTAAAGACAAGAACTTGAAAGTATTTAGTTTCTCAATCTCTTGCTACTTGTTGTTCTCTGTAAGAGCAATGATGTGTGAGTATGTGTTTGGTTCAAAAAGATATGCAGAGAGTGCTTTTACGATGTCTTTGAGGAAGAGATTCACCAAGTCATAATCAAGAACAGGCTTTTCAAGTCCGGTGAGCGTGTTGCTATAGGTGCCTCTGGTGGAAAAGGTTATTATATCTTTCCACCTTTGGATTTGGTTTAACTGTTTTGAAAGGTTATAATAAACTCAAAAAAAAGCTTGTGCTGGTGTTGGGGCAGATTCAACGGTGTTGGCTTATGTATTATCAGAGCTAAACAGACGTCATGGTTATGGATTAGACCTTTTTCTTTTGTCCATTGATGAAGGGATTACTGGTTATCGTGATGATTCTCTTGAGACTGTTAAAAGAAACGAACTTCAAGTAAGCTTTTTGGAAGTAAAAAAGAGTCTTTTGTATTTGGTTTTGTCTTCTGAAGGTGTCTCTTTTTTCCTTTTTTTTTAGTATGGGTTGCCTCTTCAGATTCTTTCTTACAAAGATCTGTATGGATGGACGATGGATGATATTGTGAAGATGATTGGTCTGAAGAATAACTGCACCTTTTGTGGTGTATTCCGTCGTCAGGTGAGTAGCAAGTCTGACTCTTCTGAGATGAACAATTAAGTTGTCTTTGTAATTTCATGTCTTGGTTTTTTGAAGGCACTTGATAGAGGAGCTGCGTTACTGAAAGTAGATAAGCTAGTGACTGGACATAATGCAGATGATATAGCTGAAACGGTTCTCTTAAACATACTTCGAGGAGATATTGCTAGGTATGTATGTTTCTTGTGATGTTTTTTCTTGGATACAATATGTCTCAGTTGATTGATTTGTAACTTGGTTTTTGTAGATTGAGTCGGTGCACATCAATCACTACAGGTGAAGATGGTCCAATTCCAAGATGTAAACCTTTCAAATATACATACGAGAAGGAGATTGTTATATATCCTTTGCTATTCCAAAACTTGCATTGAAATTTCTATGAACAGAAAATATTGTGAAACCTTAACTTAGTAGCCACACGTATGCTTATTTCAAGAAGCTGGACTACTTCTCAACCGAATGTAAGTTTCATGTCAGTAGAGCTCTAGTGAAAGCTATTACTTACTCAAGTCAAGCCTTCTATTAGAGCTGATTTGATTTTGTTGTGGTTGCAGGCATATACTCTCCTAATGCTTATCGCGGGTTCGCCCGTGAGTTCATCAAAGACTTGGAAAGACTAAGGTTCTAGTTCAATTTTTTGTTGTTTATATTAGTTATAACCAGATAAGAAAGTAAGTCTCTAACTTATATTATTATATCAACCTTTAGGCCAAGAGCTATTCTGGATATCATCAAATCTGGTGAAGACTTCAGGATTGCCACAACCACAAAAATGCCTGAGCAAGGGACGTGTGAGCGATGCGGTTACATATCTAGCCAGGTGAGAGACTTTGCAAACCAACGACCTTTCTGTAATGAGACACGCATTTGTTTTTTCTTGAATGAATATCTTATAAACAATGAGTCAATGGTGATGCAGAAATGGTGCAAAGCTTGTGTGTTGTTGGAAGGATTGAACCGTGGTTTGCCTAAGATGGGCATTGGAAGAGCTCGAGGAGGAGTCAATGGTGGTGATCACAAGAAGGAAACAAAGGCTGTGAAATCTCTAGAGAGCAAACAATGTGGGTCTCTGGATTTCTAAATTAAGAGAGAGAGATGCTCTAAAAATGCAGAAACTGTTAAGACACAATATTGTTGTAGAAAGAAATGCCGCTTGAGAGATTTTTGAACCAGCAGTGTTACTCCATTAATGAGCCAGCTGGTCAACTTGACTAAATTCAATCCAGCCTGGTTTTGAGGAGTAATAATAGTTGACAATCATGCCTTAACTATTCCACCTACATCTGCTGACTTGAATTGGAAGAAAAAAAGCTGCTTAGATTTATATGATTTTTCTTTTAGAAAAAGTGATAAACTAGATGCTTCACCTTAGTGACAAACCAAAATAATGTTTTTAATATCTGTTCTACACACTATATTATGAAGTTGAATGTTGTCCACACATGGAACACCTAATCCATGCATGTTCCTTAATACATTTACAGTCACTGTTATGTAGTTTAACGCGTTTTGCATCTCTCTTGTATATATTTCTTTTTGCCGTATTTTGGTATTATTGTTATCTTTTTGAAGTGTTGTCATTTATGCAGAGGCCTATCAGCATCAACTTTATTCCATAGCTATTATTAACATGTTCTGGACCCCACGGCACATTCAAATTGCTCTGACGCGTCGCTTCTCCACTCAATTATAATTTTCTTTTGTAGCAAATCTCTATTTAGTAATTAGAAATGTTATTTTCTGTTCACTTTACCTTGATTTTTGGAGATCTAATTTGACAATAGTGCTAATGACTCTCACAAGAAAAGAAAAGAATGCGTAGTTATTGGCGACAAATCCGGAAAATGTAAACGCACGTCAGGTTAATGTTTTACTTTTTTTCCCTTACTTTTGGACTCTTCTTCGATCTGTGTTTTCACCATGTGGTTTTAGATTCACTCAAAGCCAAAACTTGAGAATAACTAATGAAGAAAATGCTCTGCAATTCAGAGGAACGAAGTTGGAGAAAACGGAATGTATCCTATGATATGCCAAAGACATTAATACTTGACTTCCAAAATACATTTGATCTTGCAACCAGGAATGGGCCCTTACTTCATCTTCTAGCAGCTATAAAGGACAAACAAGAACCAAAAGAGAGGAGGATTAAACGATATTATTCCATATTCTAGGCATCGTATAAAGGGCATATATAACTTTTTTGGCCTATTTATTTTGTAGCTTTTCGTGTGTGTGTGTGTGTGTGTTTCTTTGTTCCGAAGTTTATGTTCATGTTTGTCAAACTTTCTATAATCAATTTGTCAAATATTTAGTCTCGGCAGTTTGTTGTGTCTTTTTTTGTTGCTTAATTGATAAAACATTGAACTAGGATGTTTTGTCTCCAAACCATATTTTGAAGACCTTACCTTGGTTCCTTAAACCAACATATTTTACTAAAAGAATGTTCTACAAAAATATTCTTTTGAGTTTTTTTTTTACATATTAAAAAATAATTATGATTCTTTTTTTTGGGGAACATAATTATGATTCCTTATAATATCTAAAATTCATATTAAAAAATTTATACTACGCTAAATCAATCGCTATTCAAAAATATAATTAGTATATTTTGTTATTAATAATTAACATGTGCATTAAGAACTTCAAAATTAACTTTAACAAAAGAAAATTCAAAATATATATATCTTTGTTATTAATAATTAACAAAAGAAAATATATAATTTGGAATGAATTGAGTTAAAGATTTTAAAATGATGTGTTCTGTCCTACATATATTTGAAATTTGAACTGCATTTTACTCTAGTTATTCCGCATATATATTGTCATTCAGACCCTAAATTACAACATAATTTCCCCTACAAATCATTCAATAGCTATACCAGATGTTTGTTTGCAAAATTTCAGATATTTATATTATGTAAAGAAATATATATTATGTATATACTGCTATAATTTCAAAATAATAATTATAAATATTAAAATTTTATTTTTAACATCAAATAGTTAGATAGTCAAAAAATTTAGTATATATTTTAAAAAGATCTGTGAGATTTAAAATAATTGAACAATATAAACTTTAGTCATTACAAATTATTCTCTTACAAAACATATTATAATTAATTTAGACAATTAATTGTAAAGTTATTTTATATTTTATTTTAACACGTGAAAAGTCAGAAATACTATAACGTTCAAGAGAAGAAAAAAAAGAGTTAATATTTTTTTTTGTAGCTCCAATAGAACCAATACAATGATCGAAAGTTTTATCATAAATTTTTTTTATAAATATTTTTATGTGAGCATTAAAATATAAAAAGTTCTAATAATTTCTTATCCACAAATCGAATTCTTTTATAGAAGAATATATAATCATTAAATTTATTTATATAAAAAAAATTAAAGTAATTTATTCATTTATATTTAAGATATTTAATTGTATGTATAGAAATATATATTAGATTAAATAATTTTAGGATTAGTTTCTTTTTAAAAATTTTGATTTAACTAATAAAATCAACAACCAGTCAAATTATAACAATTAATTAGAGAGATATGTTATAAACGAGACATCCGTAAAAATCACTTTAGTCAATTTTCAATTAATATATATGAGGATAATATTGATGACCAAAAATAAAAAAAAATCAGTATAATCCAATAGTTAATTCGTCACTTAACAATTAAGTTTACCACAAATAATTGTTAGTCATAAAATTATGATTTCTCCTTAAAAAAATATTTAATGCAAAAGGAAGGGATATAAAAATGGGCAAGTTGCTATACTAGGTGTTCGTCCGCAATTTTATGTATAATTATATTATGTAAAGAAATATATACTATGTCTATACTGTTATAATTTTAAAATAATAATTCAGAATTTTAAAATTTTAATTTTTAACTTCAAATAGTTGGATAGTAAAAAAATTTAGTATTTATTTCTAAAAGATCTGTGAGACTAAATAATTTATCAGCATAAATTTTAGTTGTTAAAATTCTTCTCTAACAAAAAATAATAATACAATTAATTCAGATAGTTAGTTATAAAATAATTTTATTTTTTATTTTAACACGTAAAAAATCAAAAATACTATAACTTTCAAGAGAAAAAGAGGGAATATTCTTTTGTGTACATTTTTGTGTGAGCTTTATAAAAATATAAATTGTTCTAATTATTTATTACCTACAAATATAATTCTTTCATATAAGAATACATAATCATTAAACTTGTTTATATAAAAATTGTTAAAGTATTTTATTCATTTATACTTAAGATATTTAATTGTATGTTTGAAAATATAGATTAGATTATGCAATTTTAAGATTAGTTTCCTTTTAAAAATTTTGATTAAATAAAATCATCAAACAGTCAAACTATAACAATTAATTAGAGAAATCTGTTAAGAGCAAGACATTCGTAGAAATCACTTAAGTCAATTCCCAGTTAATATAATCTTCAACCGGTCAAATTATAACAATTAATTAGAGAGATCTATTAAGACATTCACAGAAATCACTTAAGTGAATTCTTAGTTAATTTATAGGAGGATAATACTGATGACTAAAAAATAACAAAATTAGAATAATCCAATAGTTAATCCTATCACTTAACAATTAAGTTTACCACAAATAATCGTTAGTCATAATAATTATGATTTCTCCTTCAACAAAAATATATTTAATGCACAAGGAAGGCATATAAAAATGGGCAAGTTGCTTATTAGCCATGTGGATTGTGGGAGACATATACAGATTTCAAAGTAACACAGAGTCGCTCGTGGGTCCAGCCACCGACACTGACCTTTGTTTTCTTCTCTCTTATTCGTTTCCTCGACCTTACAGGTAAATCTCTTTTATATACGTGCCCCTCTCTTCTCTCCTTCACTCTTATACTCAAATCTGCGTACATGTAAAGAGCTAGAGATCACGCCAAACTATACCTTTCTTCACTCACCTTTAAAAAAAATGGCGGCCAATGCCTCATTCGCCGCCGCATTAGTCGTCGGCTTTGCGCTTCTCTTCGCCGTCACGGCGGAATCTCCGTACAGATTCTTTGAATGGAACGTCACATACGGTGATATCTACCCACTCGGTGTTCGCCAACAGGTACTACTACTAATATTAATGTAGCAAATATATTTCCGGTTTGGTTTGTTTAGATCCGGTTTGTAATAGCTGAGATCTCACAATTTTTTCCGGTTTAGGGTATTCTGATCAACGGGCAGTTTCCCGGACCGGACATTCACTCCGTTACTAATGACAATCTCATCATTAACGTCTACAATAGCCTCGACGAACCTTTCCTCCTTTCATGGTAAATCTTATTTTAAATCTAAATAAACTTACAAATCTTGAATATAAATTAAATACTATTAGTTAAAATTTAATATTTAATTACTGTTAAGCATTGAAGTCTGTCTTTGTCCGATTGATAGTTGTAGTTAGTCGGCCACTAGTTTTTATTTGTTCGTGAATAGTATTTTTGCTTATTTTAGTAAATGACGTAAAAATAAAACGTGTTTAGAAAGAAAAAGACAATGAAGTACGTAAGAATTTTTGTTTTGTCCAAATCCATGTCGGACTCGGCCCACGACATAAATAATTCACCCACATACGACATAATTAGTTGGGGTAATTAGGGTTAAATTCGATTAAACACTCAACATTTATTAAATCAATTATGCATGGGGCTATTACAGTGACTATTGCATGTGGGGAAGTGGTCCACCATTAGCTGTATCCGCATCAATTCGTATCTTTAAGCACAGTTTTCCAGACACAGAGTCAAGATTAACAATTAATTCATAATACCTTTGGAGTTAAAAACTAAATATTTTTGAAAATAATAAAATTTTGAAGGAATGGAGTTCAGCAGAGGAGGAACTCGTACGTGGATGGAGTGTACGGCACGACTTGCCCTATCCCACCGGGGAAGAACTACACTTACATTCTTCAAGTGAAGGATCAGATCGGAAGTTTCTACTACTTCCCTTCTCTCGCTTTCCATAAAGCCGCCGGTGCTTTTGGTGGTTTCCGTATCCTCAGCCGTCCTGGTATTCCCGTCCCGTTCCCTGACCCCGCCGGAGATTACACTGTTCTCATCGGAGACTGGTACAAGTCCAATCACACGGTAAGGATTTATTGCGGTTGACCCTTCCACACGGCATTGTTATTAGTATAAATAGTCCTAAGTTATTTTAAATTAATAAAAAATTCGTCAATTCGATATGTTATAGTATTTTTAAAATTTTAAGAATAAGGCGAATATTTCATTCGGTTGTGTAAAGTTTTAAGGCTTAGTTCTTGTTTTTTAAATTTTGTATGTGTTTTTTTTTTGTTTATGTAGGATTTGAGGGCACAGCTTGATAGTGGCAGGAAGCTTCCTTTGCCAGATGGTATCCTCATCAATGGACGTGGAAGTGGTGCCACACTCAATGTTGAACAAGGCAAGACATACAGGTTGAGAATATCCAATGTAGGGTTACAAGACTCACTCAACTTCCGCATTCAAAACCACAAGATGCGAGTGGTTGAAGTCGAAGGAACTCACACTCTTCAGACTACTTTCTCTTCTCTCGATGTTCACGTTGGTCAGTCATACTCGGTCCTTGTGACTGCTGACCAGCCTGCACAGGATTATTACGTGGTGGTCTCTTCTAGGTTTACCTCGGATGTCTTGACCACCACTGGTGTTCTCCGTTACAGTGGTTCTGCTGGTGGTGTTTCTGGACCTATTCCTGGTGGACCAACCATACAAATCGACTGGTCTTTGAACCAGGCTCGAGCCATCAGGTATATATACCTTACTTTCTTAAGAAGATATCTGTTTCTTTATTTAACATTTTACCCCAAAACAAAAAAAAAATATGTTTCTTGGCTTTTCTTGATTATGTTATGTTCTTGTGTTGTAGAACTAACCTTACGGCAAGTGGACCAAGGCCAAACCCACAAGGATCATACCATTACGGTATGATAAACACAACAAGAACCATCAGACTCGCTAGCTCTGCTGGTCAAGTCAACAAGAAGCAACGATACGCTGTGAACAGTGTATCGTTTATCCCGGCAGACACTCCTCTGAAACTCGCGGACTTCTTCAAGATAGACGGTGTTTACAAAGTTAATAGCATACAGAGCCAACCCACTGGTGGAGGCATCTACCTCGACACATCTGTTATGCAAGTGGATTACAGAACCTTCATTGAGATTGTGTTTGAAAACTCTGAAGATATTATGCAGAGCTATCATCTTGACGGTTACTCTTTCTGGGTTGTTGGGTAAGTGTCAATATCATGTTTTGCACCCACATAAAGTAACGTTGTATGATTCATATAAGAAAATGGACTAACGTTATATTCTGATAATAGGATGGATGGTGGGCAATGGAGTCCAGCCAGTAGGAACGAGTATAATCTACGTGATGCAGTAGCTCGCTGCACCGTTCAGGTAAAAACTCACAGCAAAAGCTAGTATTCTATAAGCATGTTTTTTGATAAAATGTGAACCGTTGGATTTATGTTTGTAGGTGTATCCGAGTTCGTGGACGGCTATATACATAGCACTAGACAACGTAGGGATGTGGAACTTAAGATCCGAGTTTTGGGCAAGGCAATACTTAGGACAACAGTTCTATCTACGTGTCTACACAACCTCCACTTCTCTCAGGGATGAGTTCCCAATCCCCATTAACGCTCTTCGATGCGGTAGAGCTACGGGTCGTCGCACCAGGCCGCTTTGAGTGGTGCAGAGATAAAGAGAGATGGTCAACCATACCAGCTGATTCGTTCTCGATGAGTGTTTTCTTGTTTTTTAATTCATTCTTCATTTTGCTAATGAATGGAGTTTGTAATGATCTCAGCTTGAGGTCTCAATTTTTATTCTTTCTTTCTAAACAAAAAAATTCTCTGGAGGGGAACTTTGATTTGATATATATTTTATATAGTTCTATCATAAGTCTTATTTTGGCATAGAGTATAACATTTTGCTGTGACATGAATCTTCAGTTAACAAGTCAAGAATACGATATAAATAGTGCAGAATAAGTATCAAATGTACACAACAGCTATTTCAAACAATACATAACCATACTATAACAGTCATCACTTGGTACACAACTTTAAATTAATGGCTTGAACTAATATAAAGGTTATTCGTTAGAGGAAAACCAATATTAAAAAGAGTGATGCCTGACGCAATTGATAATTTTGAAAATATTAAATGCCATCTTGAGTGATTGCAGAGAACACGACACCGTTTGAGTATCATTTTACAGTAAACAGTCTTATCTAAATCATTGAAAACAGAAAAAACAGAAGCAGGGAAGACGGAAGCTAAACTCTGATCCTGATCGGTGGAGAGAAGATGACAACTAGCGATTCTGAATTCAATCCCGATCTACTCATCGCTCACAAGCTTCCCGAGGTTTTGTTTCCGTATTTCACTTTCTTTCTTTTTTGATGATCCGATCATATATCTCGAAAGAGCTTGATCTCTTGTAATAATCTCACCTTCGTTTTTATGATCGCAGACGCGTTATACCTACAACGAAAGGTTTGCATCTTCTTTCTCTGTGTTTTATACAATGGATAAAACGATTGAGAATCGAGTGTAGTTAAATATTTGTTAGTTTGAGAAATTTGAAGGAACATAGATGTCTGATTTGATTACGTTGTGGTTAAATAGAGATGTAGCAATCTATGCTTTAGGAGTAGGAGCTTGTGGCCAAGATGCTGTTGATTCTGATGAGCTCAAGTATGTTTATCACGAGAATGGACAGGAACATATTCAGGTATCTTTCTCAATGATGCATCTTCATCTGATTGTCATGCCTCAGGACCTCATGGCACTTGAAATAATTAGTGATACATACATTTTTAATCAATTTGGGGGTGAATAATATATACAAATCAGCCACAAAAATTTTGGGAGCCAAAGTCGAATGGTTTTTCACTGTCTCTGCCTCTATGCTTGTCTTGAGTTAATCGATGTTACGTGCCTTTATTTATAGGTTCTACCAACTTTTGCTTCGCTATTAACACTTGGGTCTCTGTCAAATGGACTGGATTTGCCAGGTTTTAAGTAAGCATAGTAATCTGTTTTTGTAAGTGGTTTTAAATCGTACTATAAGTCATAGCTGATTATGAGAACCGACATGGTCTTCTTGTTTTGTATCTTGTCTGTAGATACGATCCTAGTCTCCTGTTGCATGGACAGCAGTACATAGAAATATACAGGCCATTACCTTCCAAGGCTTCTGTAAGTAATGTATTCCGCCCTTATATGCACACACATGTTTTGTAGATATTAGTTCTGTGATTCTTCCCTTATCTTCAGGGTTTTGATTGTAAGATTTGCCTCTAGAAACTGTACACTTGTACTCTAGTAACAATGGTTTCAGGGGTCCGTGAGAGATTCTAGAACGTTCGCATCGGCTTCTTCTTCTATTTCCGAAGTGGCATATGCTTCATTTTTCTAAATTGATGTTGTTGTTTTTTTTAACGCAGTTAATTAACAAAGTAAGCCTAGCTGGATTGCAGGATAAAGGTACTTGTCACTACTGTTTTGTTTTATGTGACACCTTTACTTAGCCTTAACTTAAGTCAAAATGAGCTACTTCGGTTATACATTCAACATTGAGAATAGTAGATTTTAAGGCTTTTGAAGTTGATCATTTTATTCTCTCTCACATGACAATCCTATAGGTAAAGCAGCTATCCTTGAATTAGAAACCAGAAGTTACGAGCAAGGTTCAGATGAACTGTTATGCATGAATCGGTAATGTTTCTGCAAGTATTTTTTTTCTTCTGAGAAATTCGTGGATTGAACTAATATGAGACTTACTCTGCAGGACGACTGCATTCTTACGAGGAGCTGGAGGTTTCTCAAATTCATCTCAGCCATTTTCTTACAAAAACTATCCAAGTAACCAGGGCTTAGCTGTTAAAATCCCCCAAACACAACCGTCTGCAGTGTGCGAAGAGCGCACCCAACCATCACAGGCAAGTTGTCAGTGTACTTTGTCAAAAAAAAATCTGGATTTGGGAGAACAATTCTAGTTTTACTGAGATGTACTTTGGTATTTTTTCTCTAAGTTGTTAATTTTTCCCATTTGATAACTAACTTCTGTACTACATTATCTGAGCCTCTGGTTATTATTTTCCTGCAGGCATTGCTTTATAGGCTCTCTGGTGACTATAACCCTTTGCATTCAGATCCAGCATTTGCAAAACTTGCCGGGTTAGTGAACCACTTCTATAGCTCTTAATTCAGATCAATTTTAAGCTAATGTAGACTCAGCAACTGACACTTGTTTCTTCAACTTACGCTGAAGATTCCCACGCCCGATATTGCATGGACTTTGTACGCTCGGATTCGCAATAAAAGGAATCATCAAGTGTATATGCAAGGGTGACCCAAGTGCTGTCAAAACCATATCTGGAAGATTCCTCGCGACTGTTTTCCCTGGTGAAACTCTAATAACCGAAATGTGGCTCCAAGGCTTGAGGTAGAGTTTTGCTCACTCTAACATGTATTGTTCTATATCACAGAGAAAAACCTGAACTTAGCGTTCCATGTATTGACATGACAGGGTTATATATCAGACTAAAGTGAAGGAAAGGAACAAAGCCGTGTTATCTGGTTATGTTGATATTCGTGGTTTGTCATCCTCTCTTTAATAGTTTCCTATCCTTATGTTGTCCCATATAAGCGCTGGCATGCAATTACATTTTGAAGACTCTTGATGTTTGCTTGTCCTAAACATGCATAAATAATATTTCATCGGTTTCAGTTTCGAGATATTTAAATGTTTTTTTTTTCCTTTATCTAATGTACTAGTTTGTTTGTAGTGAAATAAGAGAAGTGGATAAAAAATGAAGATTTGGATAAACACATGTATTGGAAGTATAAAATGATACTTACAATTTATATAGACGGAGGAACTAGGAAGTACTACTTTTCTATTCTTGATGTTTGTATCGTATGTGTTGTAGTAATTGTGGTGTGACACAAAAGATGCAAATGTGTTGAGTAAGCAAAAAAGAAAAAAAAGAATAATATTCTTCAACCAATACAGCTATTGTTTATATTTGTCTTGAGAATCTTACACCAGCCTGATATTATCCTTCCATAACATGTTCATGTAGTTACAGTAATGATGGAGCATCTTGTCGACACAAATGCGTGTCGGTTTTTTATTTTGCCTAGATGTGATACATATACATGCATGTAAAATATTCAAACTGCATTTTATTAAGTTGTAGGATACATAAACACCAACACAAACAACAGTAAGAAAGAAAAAACACAAGAGACCAAACACACCATAAGATGAAAGAAAGAGAATTGCAACAACGAAAACACGCAAATTTAACTTTGAAGTATATAAGTTAGATCATCAGTTCTTGCGAAGCACGATAAAATACTGCATTCCTGGTTTAGCATTCTGAATGCGAGAAAACTCTTGTCGTACCTTGACCTCGACGAGTTCAAAGACTTTCCTCATCATATCAACTCCAAAATGTGCAGATAGGAAAGCTCCAAAAGAGGCTTTGGTGGAGACAGCCAAGACTTTGGGGTCAAGTGGAAACTCACCATATGGGTGAATGATATCCTCAAATGCCTCGATTGTGAACTTCCCATTCTCCTTTATGATTTGCCTTAACTCTCCTTCTTCCGCAATGTAGAGTGGTGTGCTGAATGAGTCAACCTTGTCTTGCTCGATGACACCCTAATCATAAGATTATGGTAGTTATTATTTTATTTTTTTCTAAGTATTATGGTAGTTTTTTTTTTCATTTTCTGCTAAGTATTATGGTAGTTATTATGTAATTGTAAGTCTTTGGAGATAATTAGTTTTAAAAACGTGTGTACCTGTTGAGCAAGGTCGTTAAGAGAAGCTCCAATGAAATCCAACACCATTCCTTTAGCTGTTTCGGACATCTTAACCCCGTCTCTTAGACCTGATCCAAAGACCAACATTAATCCCCCAGGGAGGAGCTCCTCAGCTCTAGCGTCTAGTAGATTCTTGATGTCGGCCGAGTACTGATCAAGATATGCTTTCTTGACCATTTCGTTAAAACCAGTGCAATGCATGTCTTTGTTCCACAGAGGAGAGTCTCGGTCGGTGACACCTTTGGGGACTTGAGAGGTGAAATGGAATGCGTAATTGATGACTCCTATGTGGAAACTATGTTTAGGAAGAACACGGCGGAAGAAGGAGCCAGGGACACCAGCACTATAGTACTTTCTCCTCGCAGGAAGTGTCTGGAAGAGAGTGTTGAAATCATTGTTGGTAAAGTCGTTGAAGACGACTTGGAATGTGATGTTCTCAGCAGGGTTTTGTCCCGTTTCCTTGTGGTATTTGTCTTCTACTGCATTTATTATGTTTTGGACTGCTACAAAAGTGTTAGGTCCACTCGCACAACCAAAATCCGCTACGTTGAAGCGATCAGAAATCAAGTTGAGGTTGAGTTTGGTTGAGATAGCTTCGCTCATCTTTTCCTTTCCCGCTTCCAACAAAGCTCTCTTGTAAAAACCATATTAAAAGAAGAGGAGATTGTTAATACATAGTGCATATTTTGAACTCCTAATGTTTCAAAAATCATAATAATTAAACCTGATACGAGGAATGTTGGTTGTAACTCTCAGGACCTTCTCCTCCAAACATGACCCATTGTGGAGTAGTTGACATGATCGTTATCTCTTTTCTCTCTCGCTCTTCTTACTTGGTATTTGATGAGAATTGTGATGAGTTATGGACGTCTACATGCATTATACTATTTTTTTCTATGTCTAACCATTAACAGTGAGAAGGCCATTGAATTGTTTTCTTGAAAGTTTCCAATGAAACTGTTAAAAAAAAGTTTTAACATGAGGGTTGGTATGTGAATGTTTCAAACTAGCTGAAAATTAAAAGATATGAGTCACAACATGATGTGCTATTTGATGATTGGTTATTAACATTATTGAATTTTTTCTTGAACCTAGTTATTTCATAGCAATTATTTAATTTCTGTAACTATTTATGTAAAATTATTTTGTCTTATATAAACAGAGATTTGTTTCATTTGATTTGTATATCAACTTTTATATTTTTAAGATCTTTAACGATAAAATTATATTTTTAAATATGGTTTTTAAAACAATATCAATATTCTAACTTTGATTATTTTACTTTCATGAGCTAACTTTGATCATGTATTTGTTTATTACAGAAGATACGTATTGTAACTTTCATTTCGTGCACAAAAACAAATAGTGGTACGTAACTTTTATAAATAACTTGCCCTTTCTCAAAAAAAAAAAATAACTTTTATAAATAACTTATGACCATGTGTCCCTTGTTTATTTGTGGATCAGAGAATGGTATTGTTTTTTTTTTTGTAAAATATTACTTTTTGATGAAGTCTCTATTAGTTCGTAATTGTTCGATCGGTCACACAAACAGACAGATTATTTAGGGGGTGCATTCAATACTGGAATGATCCATGGCAATTAAATAATTAGTCTAAGAAGAGAAGATTATTTAGAGGTATATCAATCTGAAATTTCAAATGATCTGAAGAAATTTGATTTTTAATGAGTTTTAAATGATTTTATGTGCATTCGAAAATTTGGTATGTTTTTATTATATCACTATAGAATTTTATCTAACACCATTTGATTGAAACTTTTATTTTTATAATTAAAAAATACATTCTAGAAACATTTGAAACGTTCTAAAATGTACTACTTAATTTATTTCAATAAAAATGAATTTCATAATATGTTATAAAATGATAAGTTCAATAACACAAGATTTTAAAACATTTCTTTAAACATTAATTTAATAATAAATAAATTTATTTTTAATAACAATCACCTCAAACTAGTAGTTTAATACACATCCTTTAATTTGGGGAGAATATTTGTTGTGCTCACACATTAACAATATGACATTTCATTAATTACATAGAAAAAAAGTTTTTTTGGTACTAATGCTACTCAAATATATATAGAAGATATTTGGTTCATCGCCTGTGGAGTCTCACGTGTATTTATAATTAGCAACGCCAAAACCATTTTGCTTTCTTTCACCAACTAATATTGTTTTAACTTTGATATAGCTTAGTAAGTGGAAACTAACTCCGTCTCCATCAACAGAGTTATCCATATGCCTTTCTAATAGATAATGAAGATTAATTGAACCGTAATGACTATAGTATTGACTTACAAATGGTATTTTGTATAAGTTTTTGATCAAATTTCTTTTTTAAGTTCTAAACTCCATAAATATATCTCAATCTATAATTTCCAACAAAACAACATAAAATAAAACCGCAATATATAGGAATTCAATAAACTATGTAAGCTATAAATTATGAGGGCATACGCACCTACTGGAATATTAATATTCGTAATTTGGGATACAAAATCTGAAAAAAAAAAAATTGTTAGAGAAGATGGTAATTCTCTTGTGCATCCCTATTATCCCAAATTCAAATGTTTACAATTTGTGTATATCCTAATTCCTAAAACAAAAAGTGACTTTTTTAAGAACAATGGTCACAGTTGCCTGCGAATACTCAGCCAAATCAATTTTAGAATTGTCTTGATGTCTAAACTCTAAAATAATCTTTGTTTATCAATTTGTTTAACCAAGATTAGAATAATCTCTTGACCGTAAAGATTATTCTAACCAAGAGTTCGTGGAATATTTTTAGCTGAGATGCAAGATATGATAAACTACAATGTAGAAAATTCAAAATACTGGTAATGGGGTTTTCAAGCAAGATTTTGTGAGCTCTCAAGACCTACTCTACTCTTATGAATATGCTGCTCAAAATACTCGGTAACAAGGTAAAAAAATATTATTTTCGTGGTTAGTAAGATGGATTAATATACCAGCCAAAGAAACAGCCCACGTTTTCACTATATCATCAAGCCATCGCACCTATAATTCAACAAGAGGGTAAGTTCAAAACTATGATGAAGCAATGGATGAAACATCAAAGGAAAAGCACTAAGAAACTGAAAATAAGATGGACAACATAAATACTAACACTAACAGAAAGTACGAATTCTTATCAGCCGATATTGCGGTTTTATTTTATGTTAAGTTAGAACAGAAATTTTATGTTAAGTTACCTTCTAATTTTATTTCTTTGATATATGGGTATTTTTATAGTTTTATAAATTTCGTTGGTGTTTAAACAGACAGATGAAAACTGTGGAAAAGAAAGAAAAAAAGCAGAAAATAAAAAACAGTTTATGATTTTGATTTTTTAATTTATAAATTATATCAATAAGATTACGCCCTCATGTAGATAAAACAACTACTATATATATATGTGACAACAATTAAACACATGTTAAAGAATATTAATATCTCTATAATATTATTTGAGAAGTCACTTTCTTAGGTGTCGCGCTCACGTTAACTCTCATGCTGGTTGATTACTATGATACCCCTAATAAATTAAAAATACAATTAAATATTATTTCCTTTTTAAAAATTTCCAAATAACAATATAAAATAAAATGGAAACATTTATAAAATTTATAAAACTATTTGAAAACGAAAATATATGTATATATAATATGATTTCATAAAAAAGGAAAATTCACAAAATAGTAATATTTAATTTAAATATATTTTAAATAGCATAAAATATACCTTTTAAGTAATAAAATACTTTATATCTATATCTTCTTAGATAAAAAAACAATATATGTATATAATGTGAATTCATAAAAAAAATTCACACAAAAAATATTGCTATTAGAAAAAGAAATATTTTTTCTTTATATATATATATTTTCAAAATAATTATTTATATATATATATATATATATCTATTTTATTAGATGATTACATAAAATAATCAACTAACATAAACTGATATATGTTTAATTGACATTTTTTTACAATTAGTATTATTGAAATTATTTTTTAGTATATTGATTTGACTATAATATCTTACAATTACAGTAAAAATATAAATTATATTTTATTAATATAGTATAATTTCTCGAAAACAATCACTTTTTACTTACTATTTTAAGAGATACTAAAAATAAAACTACAAAATAAATTTAATAATAAAAATCTTTTGATCAAGTAACTACAATTATTTTAAAATATCACAACAATATATAATTTAAAGAGGTAGATATATTATATTTTAATAGTTAAAATTATCTGTTTTAAGAATAAGGATTCTGATTTACTTAAGTATTTTGATTATGGTTATATTAAATTTCACAAACATAAAAACAGAAAATAACTACAATTATTTTAAAATACCATAACATTATACAATTTAACGAGGTAGATATATTATATTTTAATAGTTAAAATTATCTGTTTTGTTAATAAATCTTTTGATTTTTAATTTTCTGTTTTTATGTTTGTGAAACTTAATATAACCATAGTCAAAATACTAAATCAGAATCCTTATTTTTAAAATTATTTAAAATAAATTTTAGTTTACCATCCAATCAATCTAAAGCATAAATTTGTTTAGAATTTATAAAATATTTTAATTATTGTAAATATTTATATGTGTTCAAAAGCTTCTAAAAATTCATTAGTTACTTATGTATGTAATTTAGAATGAGACACTTTAGTTTTTATTTTTTTTCCTTCTAAGCACAAAAAATCTTAAGTTATAATAATCTTACTAAATATACTTATATTTCTAAGATAACAACCAGCATAAATGCAAATAAGACAATTAATCAAAAACTTAATATATTTAAACTATAAAAGATTATAGTTGAATTTAGATAAAAAGATAGAATCCAATATATTTAAATGATAACTAAATCGACCGTAAAAACAATAAAATAGACTAAATATAACATATCTAAAATTATATATATAATTAAAATAATATAATATTATTATAAGTTAGACATACAAACTATAAATTAATTTAAAAATTAAAGTAAATATCAATCAATTATTATTGTATATTTATTTTATAAATATATATGTCCGTGCATGAACACGGGAAAATCACCTAGTTTAACATAGTGAAAAAAAAAATTGTGGTAACTGGTTGAATTAGTATCATTGGTTCTCACTTTACTTCTAAAGCAACATTAACATACTCCGACCGTATCATTCAGAAGCCGCAACAGACCGGCGTAACTTCAAATTGTCAGCTGTTGCGTTTGCGATTTTACAGACAGGTCTGTTCAATGAGGTAGTAAGCTTTATTGATTTGGTTCATGTTCCCGTCGGCTAACTAAATATGAAAGTCATAATAACCGACACCAAAGACTATAGTTTTTATCAAAAAGACTAGTTTTGGCAGTCAATGAACTGACTCATAAAGCGTGAATGGAAAGCTGAAAACCTTTGTTTAAGCGTAACTCATACGAAGAAGTCTTTCGGGTACAACAAAATGAGAAAGATCTCTCGCGACTTGTAGGTAAGGAATCTTTTTTTGCTTTACTCAGTCCATGGAGCCTTAACCATCTTTGCCATGAACGCATACCGATCGGCCGCT